CCTTGGTGTATCGTTTACCTTTATTATTATTATTTCTGTGTCATTTATTGTTATTGACATTCATTTCTTATTGTATGACATTAGATTTCTATGTCTTGTTTGCTTTTCTTTACAATACCCTAAGGTTTTACACAATAGCCATGGCATTAAAATTTGTTATATTTCATGCATTGGAAAAGGATATTTTTGAATTGATTTAGGTTATTAAAAATCAAATATTGTATAAAGAGGAATTTTTACAATAATTTTGGAAGACATAATTACGTAACTGAACTAATTTAAATTAAAATAAATAGTTCTTTTGATAAAGAAATATATAATTTTATACATATAAACAAGTACACAATTTTACATTAAAATAATACCACTCTTTTATTTTATTTTTGATTCTCTGATCCATTCTCTGTTTAGGTTTATAAGTGTTTTGTCATTATTTTTACTACTCATTTTTTTATTATTTTTTTTTGCTGTTTCAACTCAAGTTTTTCAATTACATTAATCGTTTTATTTCAATCATTATTTCCTCTTTTACTTGAAAAATGATTTTTTTTTCAAATAAAAGGTATTAATCACTTTAAAACATTGAAGATGGAATGTATTGGTTTAATTTATTCTTTTTCTTCTTTTTTAATTATTTTTCAATTTCCCAACATCATTTTTACACTCTTTAATGCTTTATAAGGAAATAATTTTAATTAACTTATTTATTTTTTTTTAATTAGAACATCATTTAACAAAAGACTCAAATAATAAAAATAAAAAACGACATTATATGATTTTATCTTATCCTATGTATTATATATTAACACATAATTGTTTTATTTTTATACATTCTTTGACGTTTTGTTAGTGTTTTTGTTTTATAAAAACGTAACTCTTATTCATTTATTTCATATTTTAATTGATGCAAGGTCAGGCACTATTAATACTTTCTCTTATTTCATTTGTTATTTTAATCAGTTTAGCTGGAATTATTATTGTATCATTAATCGAAATATTATGCTCATTTATATCTAATATCATTTCATTTGATTATCTTACTCTCAATAATTATATATTGTTATTCTATGGTCAATGTCTGTTGACTAATCTATTATTCTTTCTCTCTTCATTCTTCATTGAAAAGATAAAGAAGTTCAATATTATCCATTTTTATAATGAAAAAACTCAACAAGATACAGATGTAAATTCTACATGGTATTACATTCAATTGATAAACAAATATGATGGGATTGTCTTGTTATTTTTCAGTTTATTTACTGGAACGATTATTTCAAAGTTTTATGTGAAAAAGCATCAAGTAACAAGAAGTGATACACAAATATCTTATGTGTATATTATTAGTGGTATATTATTATATATGATTTATTTCATATTTATGATTATATTTAATTTTATTCGATGTCTAGTTAATATCAAAAAAGAAGGTATGAAAGGAAGAATTATACAAGCATTGATGTGTTTTGTTCCATTTTATGGTCAATTAAAATATATCAATGAAATTCTCTTCAAAAGACTTCCAATGATTAAAACAATAATCAATTTTGTTTTATTCATTATTTCTATCATTTTGTTCATTTTATTTATCAATAGTTTGTATCAGATTAGTAATGAATCATACAAACAAGAGAAAAGCATGTTTTATTATTGTCTATTGTTCATCATTTCTATTATTTCATGTTTTATTTATTGTATTCATCAACTAAGAAATCTCCAAGAGAATAACCAAGATGGAGGTGAAGAACAACAAGCAACTAATTTTCATTTCGACTACAAATTTTATTACTCAGAAATTTTGCATATTATCCTTCTTAGTACTGTAATTGTTAGTGTGTTAATTTTACAGCAAACAATAACTAATAACAATAAAAATGAAAAATATAATATAAATATAAATATAAATAATTATATTAACAAAATGGTATACAATGAATTAAATGATGAAACTGAAATAGAAAGAATAAGAAATGATGTTTTTGAACAATCACATTTATGTGGTAGAGATTTATTTGGTATTAAACCAATAGAATATTCGTGTTTGAGTTATTTAGCATATTCACAGAAAACGAATGATATAAATCAAACAAAAATTATAACAGAATATCTTAAGAAAAGATTTTGGGAAGTAGAAAATCAACACAATGACACAGTATTAACATATGTTTTAGGATATAATAGTAAAAATAAAATCAAAGTAATTTCGTTCAAAGGAACAGATTCACCAAATGATTTAATTTCAGATATAAAGTTGTTTGGAGAGGTTGTATTTCCAGCATTTTTTGTTAAGTTCATTCCAATATATAATGAAGAAACAATTCAAAAAGTAAGTTATGTAATGTCATTATTTGGATCAAAAGCATTTCCAACTCCTTATGATGATCTTATTAATACAGCAAAGAATGTAGTAAAGAAATACAATGAAACAACAATACCAATTGTATTAACTGGACATTCACTTGGAGGTGCAATTGCAAATATTGTTGGAAGTAATCTTGGATTATCGACTTTTGGAATTTCATCACCTGGAATATATTCAGGAACAAAGAATTTTGGAATTAAGAAGAAGTCGATTAACACATTTACAAGAACATTAATACCAGAGAATGATTTGATTTCTTCAATGGGAAGACATGGTGGAGAACAAATAAATGTTCCATGTTATGAGCATTTCTGGAAATGTCATGGTATTAAAAATACATTATGTACAATCTCAGTATTATGCCATGAGAAAGAAATGCATAGTCTATGCAAAGAAGAATGGAATAAATGGAATTTCAATTCAACAACATGGTAATTTATTTCATTTTCAAAATTTCATTAATTTTAATTGTTAACACAGAATTGAAATAAAAGAAAATCATAACTGTCATCGATTAATCAATTATTAGTTCAATATCATTAATTTCATATTTAAAAGATTATGAAATAAATACAAAATATCTCATAAAGAAGTATTAAAATAATTAGAATAATAACATTTTTTTTCAAATTATTTTTATTATTTTTCTTTCCTTTTTTCTTTTATTATATTAACATTATTGAATAGAAAAGAATATAATGAAGAAATGTAAATAATATATTTTCATTATTATGTACTTTAAATGTTAATTTTTATTTATTGTTTTTATGAAAAAGATTATCAAGAATCATTTATAATCATTTTATAAAATAAATAATTGAATTTTGATATTTTGAATAATTAGAATATTCAAATTATTATATTTTGTT